ATCAACCAAATGCAGGCAAAGGAAATTTAAATAAAAAGGTCTAACTTAAGCATGTAAAAATAGAAATAAAATTTTCTCACATAAATCAAACCTTTTATGTTAATAGTTTCTATAATTTTTTTGTGTTTTTAACCATCAAAGTTTTAAAATCTAGTCTATTGAAAAAAAGCTGTGGGTTAAGTAGACAAAAGCCTGGACAATGCTGGTTACATACAAAAATATTAATTTGACATAAGGTGATTTTGATCCTCTTATTAAGGGGATGACCCACTTCTTGTAGGACTGATAGAAATGAGTTTTCACTTTAATATTTTTGTATAAGAGTTGCAGCACACTGCAGTACACTAGTAAGTAAATAATCTTTATATAAACAGTGGAGAATTTCTTCCAAGGTGTTACTTGTCCCCTCACTACATTAAAAAAAATCCCTATCATTTGATTTACTGATGATATAAAGAAGAGAGGAGAACAGAAAGTGTGATTTTTAGCTATAGTCAGATATAATTAGACTGACAAATTCTAGGACTACTGGTATTCTATTTTGGACTCAGATTATGTACAAAACAACATTAGCACTTTCTCAGATAATGTCTTGTATATCCTTGGAAACAAGGGTACATTTCTCTGTCATAGTCACACTCTGATTGTTAGCACAAGACCAAATGTAAATATTTTATCTTCTTTGGAAAGTTAAAGCTGAATACTTGCCTTTTCTTCTCAAAAAGCCATTTCTGCCTGTATAGATTTCTTCTTGACTGCTTAGAATCTGTCACCTCTGAGAGCAGGGAAAAGGGTCTCTGTGTAAGGATACTTAAGCTTCAAGAATTTTATAGTGGAAACACCAAAAGTTTTAAATCCTTTTTAGGATATTTCTTCCAAGAAAACAAGTGTTCCATTTTCCCCTTTAGTCTTATTGCAGGAAAAACTATTACAGAATACTATGAAAGTGAATCACTGCCCCATGAGAGATGGCTGAGAATTGCAAAAGGAATTACTTTTAAGACTTAGGTACACAGTTGCTACCTGTTTCCTGCAAATAATTTTTTTAAAAAAAAGGTAAACCCAAAATGTTTTGATAACACCAAAACTATTTGGCATCTGGTTTAGAATAAGGTTGTGTTCCAATTAATGACAATTGTTAATACTAAAGAGTAAGCAGTAATAAAAGCAAGTGAACTAAAACACAGAGGAAATTAGTTCTATTTAAAAAATCAACAGAAATCAGTAAAGCAATAAAAGAGCAATGAAGCCTAACAAGTAAAAAGGCGAATAGTAGCAAGCAGATTACATAGGGCAATAGTTTCTAACCTTTTCCTTGGGCTATTGGCTAAAGCTTACAGACAACATTTTGTTCTTAGGTATGTCTGTATAACTCATTGGCTTCTGTCTCTCAGAGTTATAGTTGCATCAGCATTTCTTATAATGGTCTGACAGTCTTGTTGCAACTGAAGCAAATATCACTTGGGGCCAGATTAATCACTGCTTTTTCTTGTGTACTTATTTAAAATGTTATAAAATGGGTTAAAAATGTTTACTTTGAATTGCTGGACAATGATTAGGGAGATCTCTTACACTTGCTAGAATAGGGGAAGAGAAAGGAAAGGGAAAAATTATGGAAGCTATTGTATATATAAGCATTTCAGAAAGATGTTTTATATTTCTAGTAGACTTTAAAAAGCCAATAAAAGAATAATTTTTCCTCTTATTTATGAATAGAAATCAAGTTTTATGGAAGTTTTTCTAACCTTAATATACTAACATTTAACTTCTGCTTATAGCTATCTGATAAAACCACTCAGTGCTTCTAAATTAAAATAAGAATATCACTCCAGGCAGTAGGAACATGTGTAGGGAGAACCATTTATTGAAAAACATTTCCTTTGTAGTCTTGCATAAAAGTTTTATTTTTATGTCAGAGTTTCTATAATAAAATTATGCTTTGTTATAAAGAAAAGAGACAGATTATGACTAACTTAAAGTGAAAAAAAGAGTTGAAGTTACCGACCCACAGTTTTAAGTAACCCATTAAAAATGATATAAAAAGATTTTTAGAATTCTGAAAAATGTGAGTATTTTAACTTTGCTATATTCCTTATTTGTGGGTAAATATTCTGTATCTTGAACAGATGGAGGAGTCATCCAGTAGCTGAATTACTCATGCAAAGCCATGTAAGGAAAGTATGATTAAGCAAAGAAAGGATGCATATATTTTGTAATCTAGGAAATAAACAACCTTCCCGTTTGCTGAAAGTTTGCTGAAGTGAGCTCCATCCAGGTTTTTAGACTTTTCCTTTCCACAAGCTTCTCTTCCATATCTGATTTGGACTTCAATAAAAGTAATTCTGTGAATGCAAGAAAAGTACAGGAAGAGAATTACATGGAATATATTCCTTTTAGCAAATTTTGAAATTAATATTTTGCACCTTATGTGAGCCAGAACCCTTAATGCTGCCAGAACTCTGTTTTTGCATGCTGCAGTACCTTTAAAACAATTGAGATTTAGCACTTTAAATTTCATCTCAGGAACTCACAAATCTCTGGAACTTTGGAACCCAAATAAACACTTAACCAACATTTGATGACAGTTTCCAGTCCTTCTTCATATGTTTGCAATTATAGTCAAGCCAATATTCAATATTAGGCGCTGGAATAAGCTACAATAATACCATTATTGTGCTCCAAAATGTCACAGTGAGTAAAGTCTTTTGCAATTGAGAATGATTCCATCATTATTTTTTTTCCCATTTTTATATTCTATGTAAAAGAAATTACAACAGTACCAGATTATCTGCTCAGCAAAAAATTGCATATGGTTTGTAATAGAATATCATATCACTATATATGTCTGAAGAAGATGCCTTAAAGTTTGGTAAGTATCATTACAGCAGCTTGAAGATTGTAATAATTGACAATATATTCCACACTCCTATGGTAATATTTTAGAGAATTTAATATATTAAGGGTCAGATATAGTCACTGGTTCAAAGAAAAAAGATCTCTACAGGTAGATCTTCAGTACAAGAAATATTTCTGGCTCTTGGCAGGATTTTATGCAATAAACTACTGCAACAGCAGGGTTCCCTTTGCAGCTCCTGTGATCGTGTTTACTTGTTATCAGGTAGCAATTGCTGATAATGGACTCCTACACAGGCTCTGGGGTGAGATACAATCCTCTGTAACTAACCCCATGCCTGAAGAAACAAGTAATTGCTGAGGCACATCAGCGATGTATTCTCTGATCATATGCTTATAAATCACATACCTAATTTTCTGTCCAGGTACCTGACAAGATCCTCAATTTCTCCCATTTTCTCTGCTTTTTACAGAGCAGCTAACCTAAAATGTTAAAATCTACATGGGAAACAATTATATCAACAGAGGAGATAATTAACAGGCTTAGCTGAAGCAAAGGCTCTATGTACTGAAGGAAAAGGATTTGTGCAAAGGTATGTAGGGCTAAAACCCTGTGGTTAAAACAGACTAAAGTAATATGATTTATCTAGAGAAAATGTACAGGTCTCAATTATAAGGAAATTAAAAAAAAAAACCTGTAAAAGTAAATTCATTTTGCTATGCAGTCTTTGAAGCTATAAACTGGCAAAATTTAGTGAAACATTTAAAGCAATGTAAGCAAAAATGTCATTAAAAAAAGTTGTAAGAAACATTCTAGCTGCCTGCAAGACAAGAAAAACTGAAAAAAAATAGATTGATGTGTGTACTGGCGCAGAGACTAGGCAGCATGACAGACTCCATACATAGTTAATACACCTACAGGAAGAACAGATGTTCTGTCAGTAGAGTGCACAGCAGGGCATGAGCAAAGGGTGAATCAAAGTTTGTTTTTACCAATCCATAGCCTTAGGACCATTCCAGCAATCTGAATTCCTCTGTGAGAATTCCTAATCTGAGGTTCCTGGAGAAATAATGCTAAAATTTGAGCTCGTTTCCAGAGATTCATTTTGACCTTCTCCCAGACTGCGTATATGCCCAGATCAAAAACCTCAAGAATCATAGGGTCATAGGAGGATTTGGGCTTGAAGGGAGCTTAAACACTGTCCTACAAAACACCATCTATCTCCAACCCCCATGCCATGAGCAGGGAACTTTTCACTGGACTAGAATGTTCAAAGCTCCATCCATCCTGGTCTTAAACACTTGCAGGGATGGGAAGTCCACAGCCTCTCTGGGCAACCTGTGCCTTTCCACCCTCATGGCACAGAATTCCTTCCTAATATCTAATCCTGCCACCCTTTAGTTTAAGGCCATTCTTTCTTGTCCTATGTCTACATAGCCTTGACAAAAGCCCTCTCCAGTCTTCTCATGGGTCCCCTTTAGGTACTGGAAGACTGCTATATCATCTCCCTGGAGCCTCTTCTCTAGGCTGAGCCCCGATTCTCTTAGCTGGTCTGCATCAGAGAGGTGCTTCAGCCTTCTGATCAAATTGGTATCTCTTTTCACTTGTTTCAACAAATCCAATTTTTTTCTTGTTCTAGGGACCCCAGACCTGGATGCAGCACCACAGCTGGGAAGTCATATCATGCCTATAAATCAGTTAAATCCAACTTTCTGTGTTGAGGAATAATACAATATACTTTTGGAAATAAGACATACCCAGCTTTCTGATAGTTAAAATTATCAAGAAAAGGGCTAACATTTCAATTTAAAACACTTTAAAACTTTTAAAATTCCATAAACATATATTAAGTACATTTATATATGTAGTAGTCATGGCATATGGAGTAGTGTAAGTAGTGAAGCATTTTAATGATTCTGCATAACATTCTAAAAATATTTCTTCTAGATTATGACATTAATTTGCATCAACAGGAATTTGGTGAGACTTACTACAGAAGATAGAATTGCTAATGAATGGTGTGCTTCAGAGTAAATAAATGCCAGCTTTTTCAAAAGTATTTTCATACATGCAGACTTCCGTTCTTGAGCGTATATAATGTCTATGCCCAATTACATAAATAATTCCTTCTTTTATGTCTTGCTACAGATGGTGTCTGTTCTAAACCTGCAAAATGTACATATGAACCTGAAGTTTGAGTTGATCCTACTCCTCATCCATAGGTTTGCGATCTCATTTCACCTGTGTAATTGTTAGAGGAAAAAACAATGGTACAAGGAATACTTTTCCTAAGAAAAATTACAGTACCACAAACTTCAAACTCTCCTCATCTTCATGACTGTTAAACTTTTAAACATTCTTTCCTAATATTTTTTGTACTGTGATCTGTTTGGGAATAGAACTTGAACAATGTTCTGTAAAAATTGCTTCAAATAATACAGTTCAATGTGCTCTAACTAACTGCAGTTACATTTATGTTGCTGTTACAAACATTGCATGAGGGTTTTTTTTTTGTTTACTCTTTTTTTTTCATTATATGAATGATCAAATGATAATTTGATTATTTTTACAACCACAATTGAGCTGTAGAGATGTTGACATTTGAAGACTATTATGGACTTTTTGAGTCTTATGACTATTATTGACTATTATGGATTTTATTCATCCAGTATGCTAAAGGCAATAACCAGAGCTGAGTATTTCAATCTTAACCTCATGACGACCTTTCTTCACATTTACATGTAGAAGCGAATTTAATTTAGTCTAATAAATAGCAGAAGATTTTTGGAAAGGAAGGGGAAATTTTAGAAGTTTTCTGTTTGCTAGATTCAACTACTCATGCAAAGCATGTAATGAAGCATTTGGAAAGTTATTCCTAGTAGTAGAAATATTATGCTATTATCCTGCTGTTGTCTCTGTGCTTTTTAAATTCTGTATTTAGGTCTAAATTTCCCTCATTCCTCTTTCATTTTCATTCCTGCTTTGTACCTTTTTTTGTGATGGAATGATAGCTGAGAAATTAAACAGCCTGTAATGTCAGTACAATCATAAGAAAGAAAGATTATGGGTTTACTAGAATCTGAACTATTGCATTAAATGACTGCATAAATATTTCTAGGCTAATCTTTAAAATCATACCTGACCAATTTCACATGCGTTATTCTGTATTCAGTTTAAGTATGATTTTAAAGTAACTATCTTCATTGATTCTGAATACCTGAACATATCAGAATTTGGTATCTGAATTTGATTATTACCATCATTAATGAATAAAGGAAAGAAGTTGAAACAGTCTGTAACTTGCTTTACTGTTTTAGACTCCCTTTGTTTCTTTGTGCTTGGAGGTATTTTTGTACCTATCTAGAACTAATTGTTCAGTATCTCATGTACTAGATAAACATTTCTATAAAAAGAAACAGAACAAAATAAATACCGGATTAGTAGTTGGGCCTCAACTAAGCTAGATGGGAAAGTCATCTAAGTTATCTTACTGTATATTTTTTTGAGCATCAAGAGAAAATAGCTTATACTTTTTTATATATGCTACACTGAATTTTTATAAAACATATAATTTATTATTCTGGGTTCTTGTCAGCAATAACACTTCATCAGTTAATACCTTAAGGTACTTAGTTGTAGTCTGGATAAAACCATCAATGCCCACACTGACCTTTATGTAATTAAGTGTTTTCCATGAGCTTTACATTGTGCACTTGCGTCTATTAAAGCATGAGGTATTCTGATGCATTTAGCATTTAAAGTTTGACATACTTCAGATTTACTTAGAAATAATGCATATATGTCCTTCCAAAACTTTTCCCAGATAAAAATAACAATTACAAAGTGAATTAAAATGTGAAGAATACTTCTATTTTATTTTTTAGCTAAAAATTTTAAAATTACACTAAAATATTTGAAATCAAGAGGTATTTTATAATTTTGCATTAAAATTTCAGTATTTTATTGATTCTTGAAACTATAGCACTCTTTCAATAACAATGTGAAATTGAGTCAACTCATTTGACAGTGGCACACAAAAAAATTACTGTAACTTTGTTAACTTTTTAACTTATTGTTCAGTTTATAGACAGAATTCTTTAAAACTAGCTTCTCTCTCTCTTTCAGAAAATCTTTATAAGTGAAACGAATTTGCCTACTTTGCTTTTTTACCACAAAACCAGCAAATGATAATGGAAATGGACACCTGCCATCAGAAATAAAAAACAGAAATAAGGACATTCAGTTCCCAAAAATACTTTTGTTTAATGTAACCAGAAATTTTCTTGGACATGTGTTGAACAAAAGCAAACTTCTGTAATGCATGTTGTGAAATGACCGTGTATTTATTGATATGGTAGTAATAATAGATATAAGATTAAAATTAGTAAATGTTTACCACTAAACTGTTTTCATTGATTCTTTTTAGACTTTTATTTATGACTGCATCATGCACTGTATTTGTATTGCAAGAGCACTGTGATAAGGTAGCTGTTATCCAGCTACATAGCCTTTTCTTTTTGGACAATGTATTCTTTACTGTCACAATTACCTGATATCTGGTAGAATAAGAAGGTGCCTCAAATGGAGTAAAAACCTAAAATATGAGGATAAAAAAGAGGATTCATTTTCAGAAATTTGTCAATACCACTTCACTATTGATCTAGGGCATCTAATCACAGATCATTAAGCCAGTGAAGCACCTCATCGTCACTCTTGTTCCTTATTCACCTACAATTCCCTTTTGTATTAAGGAATTTAAAAGGGAAATAGTGCAAGACAACATATAATAGGCTTAATCAGAGCAGAAACTGTGAATGTCTGAGAAGCTGAGGAGCTTTTCCGTTATGAGGTATCTGCAGGTTACTGACAGCAGGCCAGGAATTTTGTCCCTGGAAAGTTTGGAGATTCATACAGAACCACTATGCTTAAACTTTGCCTTTTCCAGATGCATTTGCTAGTTTGAGTGGAGTTGATGCTGGGTGAATCGTGCTGTTTTTTAACAAATATGAGAGGGTTTATTTGATTGACATATTTAGTGAAGTAGATGTTAAATTGGACAACAGGAGAAATGTGCTGATTTTCCAAAAAAGCTGAAGATACAATCCTCTCTTCTTTGAGTCTGTTTTCAGCTTCCCAGAAAAATGCTGACACAGAAATTCTATTGCAGATAAGAAGTGGGCTTTCTCTAATTTTGTATACAGAGGGTGCTAACACAAGCTCTTGAAAATGTTATTAAATGGTCTTTAAGATGATCTGTATTCTTTGAGAAAATAAGTACTTCACGTGTAGGAATATAAAAAGGGAAAAGATTTTAGAAAAGGCCCCAGAAAGTAGACATAAAGCTGAGACAGGCTGGGAAATTTAAAAACCTTCTCTTGGGAAGCTAGGAAAACAAGAACCAAGTGAATACATTTATATTTACCATGCAAAACAAGAAAACAAGAATTTATTGATAGTTCAAGATGTGAAAACTCCTAGATTATATGCTTCGCAAAGATAGAAGAAGTTTCAATTTTATATAATGAATTATTGTATATTTTTTTAGGTTCATAGAAGTCCTTTTGTTAATGTTAAACCCACGTGGGTCCTTTTCTTATTGGTTAGAGTATAATGACTTTGCACCTTTACTTTTATGCTATTGGTTCAAAGAATATGTAGAAAAAGGCTTTGCATAAACTGCTATCTTGTCTTTGATCTGGATTTGCATGGATATTGTTATTTTTTCTGTCTCTTGCTTTTTGCTTGCATGATACAGACAGATAATAAATCCTAAGTCTGCTACCAGTCAGGGTCCCATCCTGTTTTGTGAGATGCAGACCGATCTGGCAGATCACCCAACTATACTATAATCAGATAAATCCAATATCCCAGTAAAAAAGTGATTATCACTTGATTAATTTTACTAAGCTCTACACTTCCACCCAAAGTCTAATTTGCGAAGACGGTTTGTTCTCTCCTTCTTGTCAAAGACATTCCATTAATCTGAATGTTTCAAATTCCATATTCATTGCCTAAGACCATAACCATTGACATTTTCTACTTCTCTAGGGTTTTTGGGTCTTCTGCTCTAAGAATTCACTGAACCAGTGTTATTTCTCCTGAAACAGTATGGCAGGGAAGGAGAAAAATAGATGGCAATACTAATAAAAGGCTCATTTCTTTCAATTTTTACTTGGGTTAGCATCAGGTATAATGTAGAAGGTAAAATTTAAATATAGTCAAAGCATAAGTAGAAGGTTGTACCAGAAAGAAACAGCATTTAGTAAGACAATTTCAAAGTACTGAGAGTCTATGTTAAGCTAACAAGACCAGGACATGTTCAGTGCATTAAAAACTTATACAAACATGGAAGTAGCTGTATTGAACAGGACGTAATGCCTGGATTTCTTAAGGCTGGGCCTAGAAAATGTTATTTGAGCCTTTATTAAATATATGAAATCTATGAATTTTGTTTGGTAGGATGTGGTAAGAGTCCATTCTTTGGCGGGAGGATCAAGTCATTAAGTTTCATCATCAGGCTCAACGGTTAGAAGAGAATATTGGTGTAGGACTCAACAATCTGATGCATTATTGGAGAAGGAAGCAAAGGTAGAATATGTTAGGAACAAAAAGAGGAATGTAAAAAGAAACTTAAGAGCTGAGACAACTTATGAAATTCCTTCTTATAGTGCTAAGTCAATGAGTGGTGATGTGCAAAAAAATTGTTATTCCTAGGATAGTAAAGACATAATAAAAGAAGAGATTACTTTTCTATTTTGTTATCTGAAATTAGTTCTTGTAGACCTCCACTAAAAAGGTATGAAGAATTAACTTTTTCAAAGTTTTTGCCAGTCTAGCTCCCAATTATTGCTATGTGACTGACTGTGTTTACTATATTTAAAGCTATCTAAAGTTCCCAAAGTATTTTACTACACTTGTTTCCTTTAATATTACATATGCAGTAACCTTACTGGTCTTGCAATATGACCTAGCTGGTGAATTAGTGTTCATACAATATAAGACTATTTGCATAAGCCTTTTCTCTTAAAAACATAATCTCATTAGTGGTTGAGGCGAATTGTGGGCATATTATGCTCTCTGAAAACTAATTTTCAGGTAACATGGTATCCATGGACTTATAGGATTCCATCATATTTGAGAGCGTTGTTATGACCCCTGGAGGCAAAGGCAACTCAGGCTCTTTTTAATAGAGCCCTTGGGGCAGATTAGAGTGAAATGACAGTGAATGACTGGTGTGTGTAAATAAACACATATATGTAGGGTTTATTTTAGAACAATTTAGTTGCAATGGAAAACAGCTAAGTAGCCATTTTGGCTATTATCTCTAGTATTTTGACAATACAAAAGCTTAAAAATAACATTTAAGAAAATGTATTAGGAAAAGAAATAAAAACAAGCTAAAAATGTAGATTATAAAAGATGTTACTACCTGTGGATTCAGTGACAAGACTTAATTGTTGCTACTTTGATGTCTGTTGGTTGAAGTGACGGTCGCAGTCTTGATCTGCTGGGATGACAGAAGCCCCTGAGACATAAAATATCAACCCACTGGTTGATATACATTTAGTTTGGGTGGAAGGAATACCCTTGTACTTCCTCTTGAGGAGGGGAAGTTTTGCCCTGTATGTTGCAACACTGGATATCATACACAGTCCTCAGGTGGAAGGCTCCAGAAATTAGTCAGGGGGCACTTTGGGGGTCTTTATGGTGTGTGACACCTAATTACATGACAGCTGCCTTTCAAGTCAGCATGGTGGAGCCAGTTATACCCCATCAGAAGGAACAAATACCTTCAAGCCTAGATGGGGATGTCCTGTGTGAATGTGAGCACCCCAATAAGTTCTCTGGGGGAAGCATTACAACTGAGCCAGAGAGGACATCGGCATAATAAAAAGCACTTTTGCTCCTCCACAGGATCTGCTTCTCACAGCCTTCTCCTCCATTTGTGTCAAAACCCAGCTTGTATTTTCCAGGGGTGAGGATGCACCCTCTCTGCCTTATGTAGATAGAGGTTCTGCCATCAGAAAAAAACCCTCTTTCCAAAAGACGCCCCTTTGGTTGGGGGTGTGTGTGCAAAGCTGGCCTCAGGGAAATACTTGCTGCTCTTGCAAATGGCCAATTGTGTGAGTCATTAATTGTTAACATTTCAGTCTCACACACACCTCTTCTGACAAGGTCTTTTGAATTATGTATTTTTAATTCAAGGAATCATAGAATGGTTTGGATTTGAAGAGACCATTATGATCACCTAGATCCAAGCTCCCTGCCATGAGCAGAGACATTTTCTACTAGACCAGGCTGCTCACAGCCTCATCCAACCTGGCCTTGAACACTTTCAGCAATGGGGCATTCACAACTTCTCTGGGAAACCTGTTCCCATGCCTCACCACCCACAGAAAATGGAACATTTTTTTAACATCTAACCTAAACCTACTCTCATCAATTCCTTGCTTGCAAAACTCATACTGGCAGATACAATGTTTTGAGGGGTTTTGATAATGTATTTTATATTAGTTGGAAAAGTTTAATGCTTCAGGCTGTTTTTCAGATGAAGAACTAAATACCATTAGTAAAATATCAACATAAGCTTAGTTCAAATTATTCATTAGTGTATGAATGATGTGAAAACTATAAATCCAATTCTTTTCTTCTAAAACTTGGGCTATTGGAGCCAAGCTGATATACTTACATGAGGTGAGAAAAATCAAAGGAGAGAATACTAATTTTGAATGCATTATTTGCTTCTATGTCTATATTTCTTGATATTATTCTTAAAAATTTTTTCTCCTGTGAAGAAAATAATATAAGATTTTAAAGAAAAATTAGTAATCTGAAAATGTTATACTGAAAAATATAGATAAAATGAAATGCCCTATATTGATTACAATGAAACCTTATGTTAATAAGACAAAATTGCTAAGCAGAGGCACAGAAACTAAGTATAGAAATGGAAGGAACTGCATCAGTTTACTTTAATAATCAGATAATGTTTATGTTACTATGAAGGAATTTAAAAGCATACATTCAAATAAGAAATTTGATGACAATATCTTTGTGTTAATTTTTCGAACATATTTTTTCAAAATTTGCCTCCCATCTTTCCTTTTAATCAAAATTGTCTTAGAGCCAATGAGTTCTGTCACTGAAGTAAATACCTAATTAGGCCAAAAGTGAGCACTTCTGGAAAATCTTGCCCTACCATTTACATAATTATATTACCATATAAATAACTGCATTGTAGGATAAAAGCAATTTTACATTACAGTTGTAATTGGATGGGTTTGTTTTCTTTCATGTTGCTACATCTTAATTACTTGGTACAATTAATAGTAGTTTAATATTTATGATTTTTCTAATGCATTGTGTTTTAAGAATGCATCTACTGAATATAAAAATTATCTAT